CATGAGATGTTAGGAGTTTCCTTTAAATTAGATAAAGCAACGATAATATAAAATTTTGGAGGACTCAAAATTCGTAGTTAAAATACTTTCTCGTTGTATGTGCTTCTAGTTTCATTGTTTCGCGGAATCTTTTATGCTCTTTCCCATCAGTATTTAAAAAAAAAAATATTGTTGACAGCCAAAGCCGGCACACAGCATCGTATGAAAACATCATGAAATGGAACCTACACGGAAATGGCAGGAAGGTCCCTTGTGAGGTCAGTATCTTATTGTCGTGTTACTGGGCCAAAAGAAAAGAAATAATGTGAAGTTGATGCCAGTAAAAGATGGATTGACAAGTGTTTGATTCCATGATCGAAAAGTGAGTATGACAGACTGAAGCGCAACATTAGTGTAATGGGCTGGTTCGAGATGCAATCACAACCGCAGTATTGCACGAATTATTAAAGTATCACGTTCGGTGGGAATTTCTGGCAACGCATATCAGTTGGGTAGTTGCAACAGTGTTGCAAATTTTCATCAGTGCTGCTGTTGTTGAAGCGGCTACAACAACGCCGCCCAGATCGGCCAGTCCCTCAATCGCTCTCGTCGAGCACAACTAACGGGGAAACCCAGGAAGCGTGCGACTTCTATAGGGTCTGTCTCGAGTCTCTCCACATGCCGGCCACCCGTTGGGCGTACTTGCATCTAATCTGCTCAGGTACGAGTTTTATCTGAGGCAGTAGTTATTGCGTTATTGTGGTCCGAGTGTCCCGAAGCAGACGAAGCTCTGTCTCGTCCACGTCTGCTGGTTGTGTTCCCAAAACGGTAATCACAGGACGCGAGTGAGTGTAGGTCAACCCGACTTCCTATGAATGCCGTTAATGTGCTGTCAGCAAGCTGTCGGGTAAAGAGGTTGCTTTATGAACCTCGGCACTTCATCAGTGTATTCATCAGTGAATCATTTTGGCGGAAACATATTTTAAATATATATAATTCATATGTAAACAATAAAAAGTATAGGGGTATTTTTGGCAGTCTTGCAGAGTCCTTGAACGGTGCACGGTTTGTAAAGTTGTCCCATAGGAAAACCGGTTTTTACCGTACAATGCCTTTGCAAGGCTCTGAGAATATCCCTTATTTAAATAAATTAGTATAGTATTTATTACATATCGTTTGTGTAAGATATATTTTTTGAATTATAATAAGCGGCTTAACGAAAGTAAATAAGCAATCGATCGTTCACACAGAATTCCGAACACAAAATATTTTTTTTACTAAAATCTACGAGATTAACTTAGGTATGTACGCTTATGTATATTTAATTTCATTCCCCATAACGACTGATTGACTACTGGCTGTGTAACAGTTTAGTAAAGTCTCCGTATGACGATTCCAGATCGAAAAGAAATTGACGCACTTGTCCTTCTGATAACTCGTCTGAAGCCTGCATATCGTTTAATGTGCTCAACCAAGTCTCAACTTTTTGCTTAGCTTCAAAATCTTTCGGTATTAATGACAACCTATTCATGTTATCTGCTAAATCTTTTACGTCTGGCTGTAAAGCATCCATTGTATTCATTTTCAGACGCAGTTTGTCCATGATAGTAATGAATAACGACACGATTTCCGCAATGCATTTAGATGTATTTCCCTTGTCATCTCGTATTGTGATTGGCCTGTCCTCCCGTATGCGCTCGAGAGCTGCCGGACAGTCCAGTCTGAATTTCTTTACAAATGTGTCAACATTGGGATACTCGTCACATTGCACCTGCTTGAATGCGACCTTGTATTGCACCAAATACTTGGAACAGGCAGCGGTATACTCTTGAGGAGTGATGCAGTCACGAATGTACGCCTTCTCAAGCTGTTGGAGCGTGTTGATGATGGCGTACAAATCTGCCATGTTGTCATACTTTTCACGTTCACGTGCATTGCGATAAAGTTTAACCTCTTCGTATAGTTCGGGACAATTATCTTGCATTATTCAGCTGTATAATTTATTTCTTCGCTGAACAAAAAAATACAAACAATTAAAATTTTCAACAGATGACGAATTCTTTTGTTTTTATAACTGTCAGTTTGACAGGTATCAAGTATGGTGAATTTACTTCTAAATCCACCAACCAGAGTCGCATTTTTGGAGGCACTTAAAATTTGTGTTGCAAATACACGATGTAACGAACAAAGGTTCGGCATACCGCGTACCGGTACTTTGAATTCCCCGATTTTGAAATTCACTAATACTTCCACAAAAATCTTCACCTTTATAATACTTTATTTATTAACTATTTTTCCATGAAAATTTTATACCTTGTATTCTACCATTCTTGTCGCAAATACGTTGATGATCAACCAAAGAACGAAATTATTCTAAATTATCTACGTTCTTCTAGATTATCTACGTTCTTCGGCTCAACTAAGGGTAGGCATATGAAACCTGCTGATTCAAAAGGTTATGACCAAAGAGAGAGGAGTGCCAGCAGAGTGGGTTAAGCCTGATATACAGTTCAATGCGAGCGTGAGCGTGAGTTTTTTATTTTGACCAATATCTTCGTTATTACTCAACTTTTTGCTATAGTTGAGACATGAAAAGATATAAAATTAAAATATACTTCAGAATTATAGAATAAAAACTAATTTAAAATGCCACATCCGTCAAAACTTGCCGTTCACATGCGAAAGCATTGCGTACGCACACAGTTGAGTGTGAGTTCGAAAAAAGGCATATTATGCATTTTAAATTAGTTTTTATTCTATAATTCTGAAAGATGTTTTAATTCTCTATCTGTTTATGTCTCAACTATATCAAAAAGTTGAGTAATAACGAAGATATTGGTCAAAATAAAAAACTCACGCTCACGCTCGCATTGAACTGTATATCAGGCTTTAGACGGGTCAAATGAAGAGGTGACTGATGTGGTACAAGTCGTGGTCGAGTCTGGATAGGTACGAGTTCAG